TTACCCCATTCCACCCTTTAGCATGGTTGAATGCATGTTTACATCAACATTTAACTTTTCTCTTGCAAAGGTCACGTAATAATTTATTTGAAATTCTTCTCTTATTTTATAAATAGTATCATTCAAGGTTACAAAATTCCCTCCTTCTAATAATTATCTTACTCGTTGAGAAAACTTACATGATTTATTGCTATTTAATATTTCACAAATTGATTTTTTTATCTAATCTGGCATTTAAATTAATTATTTAAGAATTTTTATTCTAATTCAAATAATTCTCTTTCTAGTTTATCATTTTTCAATTAATACTTACCCTATTAAGTCTACATTTATTAAGTTTAAACAAAGGGCTTCCAGTTTAATGCTCAAATCGTTAATATCTTTAGGTTAATTTTTAAGATATGCTGATATTTTATTTAATGTTTTTCTTATCAAGTCTTTTCTATCAATTTTTCACCATGTTTCTCAATTATATTATTTATGATTTACTAAGACTTTACACTTAATCACTTTCACTTCATCACAATTATTTAACCATTACAATCTATAAGATCCATGATATTTACTAGCAAGATGCTCTCCCATTATCTTGTTTAGTTTACAAACAAAGATAATATTTGCTACATTAGCATAATTTTCTCTATCTATAATCAAACTACACACCTTATTTTATGTATAACGTGTATGGAAAATGTTTTTCTTTATTAATCAATATCATCTTCCTTGAACTGAATCTAAAATATATGCCTTATAAGCAAGGCTCACCTCCAACTGGCTATACAACCTTCTTATCAGTATAATCCTTTAATGGTGGTATGTCTTAATAATTAGATCTATCACCTCCAGACTCCATGTTTTCATTATTTCTAATAACCATTATTTTTTATTTTTAGAAAAGTATTTTTTTTTATTTTGAATGGAAAAAACATTTTAAAAGTTGCAAAAAATTCAAAACTATCTTGTTGTTTATTAATTATATCAAAATATATCTTGAATTTTGTTTTTCAATTTAATTCTATTTTTAATTTTTTATTTGTCATATTTGATCTTTGTTTTTTACTGTTATTTATTTTATTTAAAATAATTTATGAAATAATTTTTTTAGTTTATCATTCTTCAATTTTTTTTTACTTGTTAGATTTAATCTATATTTTTTTAATAAACTTAAAAAATTTTAATAAATTATTTTTTATTTTATGTTTCATGATGTGGTTAAACATTAAAAATTAATTTTTATTATTTATTTTTTATAATACTATCAAACTTCAAAAAATAAATTATTTTCCAGAAGTAATCCGCTGTGAACCATTTTCCATTTGGAGTGAGTGGGGTGGGCTGATTTGGTTTTCCGAAAATGTTGCAGGGTATCTACTACAACTTATAAACAGTGGTTATCTGCGTCTGGGGAAGAACCTTGCACGACTTCGAAATGCCTGATTGTCAGCGACCGCCGGACTAGATCAATTTATGGATTTGATTGATGCCTGAATAATGAAGCCAATTGTGTGAGTAACAAGCTCTTTATTGCATATGATTAAATTGGGCCGCAGTCACGTCATTATTTCCTTTCAAATCGTAGACATCATAACCATCTTCCCTCGGCCTTAATGCTGCAATGGGGGAGAAGGTAATTGTGGTTGGGCGCCGGTTAAAAAGATGTCGTGTTTACGGCTTGTTAGCACTCAGTCACCTCGATTCCTTCTTCCAATCCAGACTGAAATTATTGTCACAGATCTTTGATTTTTGCACGGTAAATTTTATTTAGTCCATAGAAAGATGTTTTTTTTTGTATTTGAAAAGTAAAATATTTTTTAAAAATTATAAAAATATTATATTATTTATTGATTATATCAAATTTAATTCTTAAATTTTTTTATTGTTATATATATTTTATTTTAAATATTTATTTTTTAATTTCGTTTCTTAAAATTTAATTTTTATATTCATTTTAGTTTTTATTTTTATAATTTTTAATTTTTTTATTATTTTTTAATTAAAATTTTTTATTTATCAAATTTGATCCTTATTCTTTTAATTGTTACTTATTTTATTTGAAATAATTTATAAAATATTAATTATTATTATTTTAATTTCTTCATCTTTAAATTTTTTATTCTTTAGATTTGATCTCTATTATTTTGATTATTATTTATTTTATTTGAGATAATTTATAAAATTATATATTTTTCTTTAATTTCATTTTTATTTAATTTTTTAATTTCTAAGATTTGTTCCTCGTTATTTTAATAAATTTTAAAAAAATAAATTATTAATAAATTATTTTCTAGAACATAACCAAACATTGAAAAGTATTTTTCAATTTATTTTTCATTATGCTATCAAATATCAAAAAAAATTTATTTTTTCTAAATTTATTTTAAAAAAACTAATTTTCAACAAATAAATGATACCTTAACTTAAAAAAAACAAGATATAAAGTAGAATTCCTGAGGGGGTGCATGAAGAGAAAAAAGGAGTTGTAGATGACCATCAACATTCACTCATATCAAGAATGTAAAAAGAAAATATACGATACCTTAACTTAAAAAAAACAAGACATAAAGTAGAATTCCCGAGGGGGTGCATGAAGAGAAAAAAGAAGTCGTAGATCACCATCAACATTCGCTCATATCAAGAATGTAAAAAGAAAATATGAAGAGTATAGTTCAATTGGTTAAATTTTTTAGATATTATTAATTTGAGTCCTATAAATTTTAAGATCATTAAAAATTTATAAATTTAGTCATGGTATATATAATGAAGCTAAACAGTTATATTAATAATAATAATAATAATAATTTGATTGGTTAAAATTTTTAGATATTATTAATTTGAGTTTTATAAGTTTTAAGATTATTAAAAATTTATATATTTATAAATTTATAAATTTATAAATTTAGTTATAGTATATACAAGGAAGCTGAACAATTATAATAATAATAATAATAATAATAATAATAAAGCAACAAGAGAATGGGCACAGCTTATTTAGCCTTAAGCTCGACCAGGGCTTCGTTTCATAACGGGGCAGACTACCCATCTGCAGCCCGCTGGTTTCTTCGACTGTTATGTTGCGTACATGAGGCTTGTTCATTGAAGGGTGTTTGGTAGTTGCTGGCAAGTGTCTTTTGGAGCCCAATCACGTGAAATCGAACACTAATAATTGACATTAATTCCATCCGTTCCTTCCGAATCCAGTGTATGATACGGAGCTCACAGGCCAAATCAACAAACAGTAGCAGGAACGCAAGAGGAAATCGATGATCTCTAAACAATTATTGATGAGCCAACTCAAGTTTCGGAACTGTAGCAATTACATAATAGAATGATCGAGCATGATTTAATTAAAATATAATTTGGTAATTAAAGGTTATAATATAATTAGTATATAAATTATATTTTTAAATTTAAAAAATTAAGAATTTCATTGAGTTAATTTTTAAAATTATTTTAAATTAATATATATATATATATGACTCAAGGAGCAAATTAATATTTTGATAATTTATATAGTTTTAAATTATTTATTTTATTTCATAATTATATAAAAAATTGACATGAGTCATAAAACATATAAAAAAATTATGTAAATTACATAATAAAAAGCTAGCATTTTAGATATAATTTTTTTTATATAAATTAAAATTTAAAATATTTTTTATTGATAATTTGTGTGTATTAACATTAGAAATTGAAACAATTGAATATTTTGAGAATAACTTGATTTTTAAAAAATTATTGAAAATAAAAAAATAAAATTAGTAGATAATAAGTTTCTAAATAATTTTATACATGTTTAGACACTTAAATAATTTTATTTTATTGTTTTTACTGTTCTCAAGACTACCGGAACTCAAGAGAAACGTGTACGCAAATTACTTGCAGGAGTGACATTACAAAATGCTTGACGTTAATAAAGTATTATATACGTGGATGCTAACCAATCACATGGCTAGTATGATATCATGTTCTTCCTTTTTCATGGCATATTTCGGAGGTTATACGCAAATGGTAGTGTCACGGCGGAATTGCAAGAACTTGTTTTGGGAATTTTGCCATTTGTCAGTAGGATTTTCAATTTTAGATTTGACAGCCCTCGACTTTGGAGCCTACAGGAAGCTGCGGAGAAGAAACCTTTCCCAAGTTTATCCTGCTGTTCCATAGACCTGCTCTTCCAACATTTATACCGACATAATCAACGTAGACTGGTTGAAGTTTCAAAACTTGCCACCTCAAAATATTTGTTGGAAATGGTCAATATTACTTTACCCCCAAATTGACTGCCATACAGCCTCAATGCCAGCATGTTTCCTCGGTGTCATTTTTGGAGTTGTCGTCTTATCAGAATATCAAAGGCAGACAGAATTAAACTCCTCTCACAATATCACAGACAATAATAGTATAAACACGATATGATTTATTTTTCTTTTTTTTTAAAAAATAACCTAGTGTCTCATGTCGAATTAGAAAAATATTAGCTTTGAACACAACATTAATTTTATTAACAACTGTTATTTTCAATAATAGTTGTTTCATCATGTTTTAAAATATATAACTTTTAAATATTAATTAATTTTAATAAAAATTATCTCGTAATTTTATAAAGATTCAATGAATAAAAAATAAAATTTAAAATTTAATAGGTAAGATAAAAGTAAAAAGAGATAAGATAATAAAAAGAGATAAGATGGTGTGGTGGAAAAACAAACAGGATAGATTATCGCGATTTTATTTTTGACACATCATTCATCATTAGATAAATTTTAACAAGATAATTCTAATTATATCATTATACCAATACCAAATAATATTATAATTAATTCTAAATTAACCTTTAGTATAAGCCAAGATCCAACTATAAATAAATAGTTTCTCGAGTAAATTGATAACTAACATCATAATTATTACGAACGGGAACAAGAACTGATTCTCTCTCTTAATGGCAATTCATCTTCAATACATGAATTAATTAATTTACAAGAAAAACACAGCATTAATTCTTATATTTCTTCTTAGTTTATTCTATTCTTATATCCATTTGTTTTAGTTTTGTTGTACAATTATAACATTTATCTAATCGAACTTATATAACCAAAAAGAACAAATTAAAGAAACTATTCAAGAAACTACATATAGTCGTTCAACCCTAGCTAGTACTGATGATAACCCTTTCCCTCATGGTCCTGGAGTGTACCCGTCCTTCCTCAACCTCCTTACCTTTCGGAAGACGTAGCAACTTGGACCAAAACCCACCTTTCTTCTTCTCGTGACAATCTTTATTCCCTCTTCTCGGAACAAAAGCCAGTGATCTACTCTTGGTGAGTAACATATTCTTGCCATTGAAGAACAAAGGGAAAGAACCTTTCCCATGAGTAGGAATTTGAAAATGATGCATTGGAGATGAGTATGAAGAAAATGAAGAATATGATGACAATGAACAAGAGGAGGAGCAATCCATTGTATTAAGAGAGGCAATACGTGAAGTCGTCGCACCAGTCGGAAGTTGAGAAAGCTTTTCACTTAGACAAACGGAACAAACTCCTGGTGGTTGCTCGTGTTTTGGGTGTTTCTTGCACTTACGATCAGGCTTTGATCGACCCTTTACCTCCTTTGATCTCCATAAGCTAGCCATTTTCGGTTTTGGTATTACTATGTGACTGCCTTGGTATATTTTATAGAATGAAAGGAAGTTGTGTGTTTGTTTCCATGATACTTCATAGCAGGAGGTTTCTTCGGAATTTCTCTCTTCAAAATTGCTTTTTTTGACAGCTTGTGAGAGAAGTTCACAAGCTGGCTGCGAGGACTTTTTGTTTGGTTGAAAAGAAGAATTTCGAACTCAATATGTATTAAATTTGATAGGAGTGAGTGCCGGTATTCAAGGACGTAGCTCGTTTGGATTTTGACTTATAATTATATTCAACTTAATTTTTAATTTTATTTATGAATTGTAAACATAATTATTTTATTATTATTCTTGTTTTGCGTCCAATATTCAGTTTGTACTGTGTTTTTTTCTGAGGCGAATCCATAACAAAAACTGAATGTATCATGAAAGTTTTAATATTAGATTTAATTTTTAATAAATTACATAACTACTAAATTCTAGTTATTTTCTCCTCCTCCTCAAAAAAAAATTATTTTTTATTCAACTTAATTTTTATTTTTTATAAATAATAAACTTAATTCATTTATTATTATTATTATTTACCTCCAATCAGGTTGGATTAAGTTTATTTTTTATATAAATATTATATATTTTTATAGGCTGGACTTATTATACTAATTTTTATAAGTTTATATTTAGAGGCGGACCTACAACAAGAACTGAAAATATCATAATATTCTTAATATTTAAGCCTAATTTTTAATATATTATAGAGTCATTAAATCCTTGTTATTTTCCTTTCCTCTCCAACAAAGAGATAATCTTCTTTTTAATAAATAAAATAAATATAATTATTCAATCTATAAATTATCAAATATAAAGATAAAAGCAGTATATAATATATAAAATACATCAGGCTTCAAAAACCTTAATCCGCCTCCCAATGTGTAATATTTATTTTTTAATCTATTATCAGTTATAATATACATATTATTTGACTTTAACAAGTTGAGTAGGATAAGTTGGACCGGGTCAGATAATGGAAATATTGTTGGATTTCTTAAATATCATTCACATAACAAAAATAATAAAATAAAATTATTTGGGAGTCCTTAATATCCCGTTAAACATATTTAGAGTTGTTTATTAATTTATTACTTGAAGATCTAATCTTTTTTGGCTTTAAATAATTCTTTAAAAGATTAATTATCACAAACCATAAGCTGTTCAATTATCCGATCTCCAATGTTCGATCTCCAATGATAACTCATATGAATCATCAGTGAGAAATCTCTTAATTCTTTTAAAAAAAAGAAGAGATTATTATGCCTAGAACGTGAGCTCTTTATTATGTGACTTATATAGTTTTTTTTTAAGACAACCATAAAATAAAAGACATAACTTACTATTTATGAAAAATCTAAAAAACTCTATAAATTAATAAAATATCAATTTACCCCTTAAATAATATTCATATATTAATTCAGGATAATTTTAAAAATTAATTCAATTAAATCCTTACTTGATTTTTCTAGGTATAAAAATATAATCCATGTATTAATTATATTATAGAAATATATTTTAATCAAGTTATACTTAATTAAATCATCACAATTTAATTTCTGACTAATGATTTTTAATATGTGTAACCCATTAGGTTCCTAATATGTTAACCTTAATATCAATTATAACTCTAATTAAATAGAATTAAATAAATTAAATAATTTAATTTATTATCAATACAATAATTGATTAATTTATATTTAAAAATCAAGTGTGTCATTTAGTAATGTGTCATGATCTCCAAAATATTAGAAAAATTATTAGTAGTTAGACTTAATTTTTCAGTGAATGGTTTTTCATTATATTTAATATCCTTTCATCAATAATATTCTGATTTAACTAATAAGTATGAAGTATATCTGCCATGTTAAATCATGTTTGTTATGTTTGTCATGTTAAATCATGTTTGTTCTCTATATAATAGTCATTGATTGTTTGAATAAGATTTAAAACTCTTTTCAAATCTCATTCCACCTTGGCTAAGGATTTCCCGTCAATACTATCTGAGAACTTATGAAATATTTTTTTTAAGTCACCTAGGGTGATGAATCCTCTCTCAATCATTCAAATACCTACCTCAATTAAGATAACATATAATAGGATCAAGGTATAATATTTTTTATATAAAATAATTTAGTGATCTCAAATCTAAAAATCACTTACACAACCGTCATGTGATTATTTCCATAGACATAGACGATCTCTCTATATGAAATTCTCATGTTGATTAGTTTAATATACATGTTTTATGACAAATACCTATATATTAATTCTAAGTATCCCTTATATCTCAGCTTATGAGAATAATTATTTTTTTATTAAAAAAATATCATAATATATATCAATTTTTACGATTCTAATAAATAAATGTCTAATATTTAAGAGGTAATCGACTAGAAATATTTTAAGAACAATGCTTTGATTATACAAGAGTTTCATAATTATAACAACTTTATAAAAATTTTATCTTTACTATAAATTTATTAATTTAATATTATATGAATATTAAAAATAAATTAAATATTTATTAATAATAAATAACTATTTATATAAATATAATAATAAAAAATATAAATGAGATACAAGTCATATTAAACAAATAAATATTACATATACCCGAGGACGTAATCAAGTGGAGCGGGCGCAGGGGGGGTTCTGTAGAGGCGGCGTGGAAATTAAAACCGTTTTTTCAACTAAAAAAAAAGGAGTAAGTAAAAAAAAATGAGGATTTGCAAAAGCAGGTCCTTTGCACGAGGGTTTAATGCCACCAATAAGGTTTCGCCACTTACAGCCGTGTCAGCATATGTTGTTGTTGTTGTTAAACAGGTTCAAAGCACTAGATTGCCGGAAAAAAAACATATTTAAGTTTGATTTTGCTGGAGAGCAATAAACATAATTTTATGCGAACCCCCACTCCTTAAATAAGGAAGAGAAGCACCTATGTCTATACTCAAATAAAAAGAAGAAGAAGAGGGTTTTACCAAACAATCGTTTCTTTTCTTCTTTGGTTTTTGGGTAAGAAGAGAAGACAGGAGTTCATCTTTTAACGAATATCCCTTTGTATATTAATATATCCTAATATATTATTTCCTATATAAATATACTAGTAATTTATTATTTTCTAATAACATTATATTTTAAATTATTTTATTACTATATTATTTTGTGTGTGTATAATAAAGTATTAAACTACTTTAGTTTTTAAGTCTTTTATAGAAAGTGTTTTCCAATGTTTTAAACCGTAAATTACTTTTCTCCGTCTAAAGCTTATGTTTTTCTTTAATCAAAATATGAATTCTATAGATTTTTTACAATATAGTCAAATACTATTTTTTAACATGCCTCATATTGCAGGTGAACTTTTTATAACCTAAAAAAATATAAAATATCAATAAGTCAAAAGTTTGATGTATTATAGACAAACACTTATAATATTGAGTTGGTGATATACTAGACGATCTTTTTTAAAAAAATATTGAGATAACGGTACATTAAATCAACTTGGATCAATTATATTTAACCCGTGAAACCTATAATTTAGGGTATAAATTCATGATAACCTCATGAAATCTAAATTAAAACTAGTTAAGAAACTCATTCTAATTAACCAAATATTGAAAGCCTAAAATGAAATAAATATTTAATTAAAAAATAACTCGAGCTAACATAAATAAATGACTTGCACTATGTTGCATCTCAACCTAAATTATTTCAAACATAAAAAAGGATGTCCAAGTGATGCTAATATTTTTAAAGAAAAAAAATCTAAGAACATTCTCATTGACCTGAATATATCTGTTAAGTTGGGTTAATTAACAAAAAACAATAAATAAAAAGAATAGAGATAAACTGAATCATTTTTAAAATCAATAAAAAATTCTATAGAAAGCAATAATAATAATAATAATAATAATAGAACTCAATCCCCAAACAAATTATATGCTAAATTATGAAACTGAAAATATGAACTTACAAAAAAAAGAAGACAAATGAATTTTTTCTTTGTGCTATGCCACAATCCAGATGTTTTTTCCTAACCTTTTAAAAAATGTAAAAAAGAAAGAAAGATGATAATATATTAGATAATATATTTTTAAAAATAAATAATGAGCAATTAGTTTAATTTAATTAAAAAAATCCTTTAAAAGAAGCTAACTCTAACAAAGAAAGATAAATAAAAAGACTAGAGATAATTAACTCATTTTTAAAATGAGTGAAAAATCCTATATAAAATAAAACTAAATACGGAGTTGATATTTAAGTATATCAAATGTTAAAGAATGAAATTGAAAAAAAAAATTAAAAATAGAAAAACAAATGAATTTAAGTGAATCTCCTAAACCTAAATTATTCTCTAAAATTTACAACCCATGAAATTCTAAACCTAGAATCAATCAAGAAACTTAATTTAATATTGAAGGAAGGAATTGAAAAAAAATATATCAATTTTATAAAAATAACAAGATAAAAAAATAAAAAGAAAAATAATAAAGATAAAACATAATATGTAAATATAATAGAGGATGCAGTTATAAGAAATAATCAATTTCAAAAACTATCTTAATTAAGTTAAATAGCAATAAAAAAATGAAAAGAAAATAAAAAATAATAATTAAAAATAATGGAGTATGAAATAAAAAAATTAACAATTAAAAAAAATAACTAAATCCTTATAAAAAATAAATTGAAAAGTTGTTATAAAATGTTGTAAGATTAGACACGAAAATTAAAAAAAAAAAAAAAAAAAAACCAACCACTTCTAAAAAAATTCAAGCACACAAGCCACCCAGGAAGGTAGGCTTTGTTGTGAAGAATTGATAGACACCAAGAAAACTTGTTTTTCTCTATGATGAGACACTGCAAACACCATTCAAAGATGTCAGTGTAGCTTATTTACTAGTAAGTTTCATGAACGCGCCAAAAACTTTTTTTTAATATTTTTATCAATTAAATTATCAAACTGCCATGGAAAAACATGAATACTGCAAGAAAACAAAGTGAAATGACTAATATATCCCTAAAATCAAACCCAAGAATCTTTGGATGCAGGGACAATATAGTAATTGCAACATCAAGGTAATTTTTTTTTCTTTAGGGGTAACCAGTTCAGTGTTTTTCTTCTTCTTT